TGTATTCGTTGGCTCCGCAAAGACTTCTAGCGCCGTAAAGCCCGAACCATCATGAACCATCATGTAGAATCCTTTTGTCATCATCAAAACCAGAACAACAAGCCCGGCCAAATGCTGGCAAACCCCAAGCGCCCGATGCGGTGTTCCCGGAATCCTGAACCCGACATCCCCAAATCTCTAAATCGCGAAGGAGAACTACAGTTATTGAGCCTAAACCGTATATACCCTCAACCCTATAGCGCCTGAAACTAATTTCAACAGGCCTCAAAGCTGTCTTACACCAACTCTAAACCCTAAACCCTAAACCCTGAACCCTAAACCCTAAACCCTAAACCCTAAATTCTAAACAGCTGAGACTGAGCCAAAGCTGCACGCCGTGGAGTATGGACGCTGGGGTCGTCAACTTCCGTGTCCGTAGGAGCTCCATCCATAAGGCCACTGAGATCGCCTAGGGTTTGGGTTTAGGGTTTGGGTTTAGAGTTTAGGGTTTGGGTTTAGGGTTTAGGGTTTGGGTTTAGGGATTAGGGTTAGGGTTTAGAGTTTAGGGTTTAGAGTTTAGGGTTTAGGGTTTAGAGTTTAGGGTTTGGGTTTAGGGTTTAGGGTTTCGGGTTTAGGGTTGTCGCCTAGGGGGATGCGGAGCTCGGTAGAGGTACCGGGTTTAGGGTTTAGAGGTTAGGGTTCATGTCCTTTAAAGGGTTTGCTACATGGGTTACCAGAAGGGCTCTCTGATTGATATACAGTGGCCTTCATGGTCAGAAAAGAGTTTGGGGGTATACTGCACTAGAGGTATCAGCAGGAACCCTACGCAATAACATGGTTGAGTATTCTGGCTTCTATCTACCTATCTATCTATCTTTATATCTATCTATCTATCTATCTATCTATCTATGTCTATCTATATATACACATAAATATAAATATAAATATAAATATATATACACACTCTAATATATATATATATATATATATATGTATGTATTAATTGGTTTAAGGGTCTAGGCTTGCAGGGTGTAGGGTTGAGGGGACGGAGGGCATGCAGGTTTTGCGTTACTTCCCGCCGAATCTGCGCTAGGCCGCTAGGCTCTGGAAGCTACGGGGTATGGAGATGCTGAGCTCAAGGAAGGGTTTAGGGTTTAGGGTTTAGGCGAGTTCTCTAGATTCTACAAGGGTGCCGTATTCTTCCAAACCTAAAAAGGCAATCTAATTTCTGAGTTGCTGTGTTCATAGGCCCCATAAAGTGTTCACTTTCAGATCATATTATCCCCAAAAATGTAAAGTGTACTCACTCAGCTACTAAGGTTGGGCAAACCTCGCACCCTCTGAGCCTGAGCCACGATCACTAAAGAAGCATGAAACTCAAAACCCTAATTCGAAAAAAAATCCTGAAGAAACTAATGCGAATGTACCCTAAACCCTAGAATCCTAAGCCCTACCCTTTAGCCCTACATCCTAGAACCCGAAGCCCGCAAAGCCTCAAGCCGTAAATCCGAAATACCTCAGGAAGTAACCCTCAGGCTCAAAATGATCCGAACAAGCCTTCTATAGTATATGGTCTTTGGGCTCAAACCTTTAACCCTAAACCGAAATCCCTAAAACCCTAAAACCCTAAACCCTAACCCCTAAACTCCGAACCCTAACCCCTAACCCCTAAACCCTAAACCGAACCTAGAAGTTACAAAAGAAAGAAAAAAACGGCCCCTGAGGTCCGCTCGAGCTTGGGGCCGGCCCGGCTCTCCACTTCACCTTTCTTTAAGGGTTTAGGCGGTTAGGGGCTAGGGTTTATAGGGGTTAGGGTTTAGGGTTTAGGGGCTAGGGTTTAGGGGCTAGGGTTTAGGGGTTCGGGTTTGGGGTTTAGGGGCTAGGGTTTGGGGGTTAGGGTTTGGGGTTTAGGGGCTAGGGTTTAGGGTTCGGGTTTGGGGTTTAGGGCTACGTAGGGTTTAGGGGCTAGGGCTTATAGGGGTTAGGGTTTAGGGTTTAGGGGCTAGGGTTTATAGGGGTTTTGGGGTTAGGGGTTTAGGGGCTAGGGTTTAGGGGTTAGGGTATACCCTAAGGCTCGTATTGCTCTTTCGGGCTTTCTAGGGGAAGGTTGGCTAAGGTTTGGGCTTTCACTATGGGGGTCCATGAGCCTTGGGGTAGGGGTTAGGGGCTAGGGTTTAGGGGTTTGAGTTTTGGGGTTTAGGGGTTAGGGTTTAGGGGTTAGGCGCTAGGGTTTAGGGGTTAGGGTTTAGGGTTAAGGGTTCGGGTTTAGGGCTCAGGGTTTAGAGGCTAAGGTTTAGGGTTTGGGGGTTAGGGTTCAGGGGCGAGGGTTTAGGGGTTAGGGTTTATACCCTAACCCCGAAGAACCTAACTTTTTAAGGACTTACATAAGAAAGTCATATTAAGGAACCCTAGAGAGGCAGGTTCTTTAGGGTCCAGGTAGGGCTTAAATCTCTTTCAACAATGTAGGGGCTAACACAGAGTTGTTTGCTAGGCTCAAACTGTTATGCCAGGGCTTTAGATTTAGGTAGGTCCTTTTAGGGTTGTATTCGGTTGCATATGTACATGGAGGATTCGTCAGGGTTTAAGTTTGCTTCGAGTTGCGCTGCGAGGGCTGTGTTGAATTCGGGTTTAGGGTTTAGGGTTTAGGGTTCTTTTCGGATCTACTTGGAGGGTCGGAGGACTCAGCAAGTAGCTCTTAGTAGAGTCTGTTTTACAAAAACCCGTTAATGTGTGTGGCTAAGGGTTTAGAGTTTGGTTTCGGGCTTTTGGGCGGGGTCTGGGTCTGGATGGTGTTGGCTTCATACTGTTTGGTAAACTGTATACATAAACCAAGGAGTACCAAAAGTAGTAGAAGCACGGATGTATAACACCATGAGTCACTCTCTAGCAGCACCAATGGAGGGGAATATGACATACGTCCTCGGGACAACAACAGAAACGACGGCAGGATCTAACTGGGGCGGGCAGTGAATCATGAGATAGCATGGACATCAACAGCAGTACATGGTGGCTACACGTTCTCAATTGTCGAGGGAATTTCAGACGTCCCTTGCGAAGACACTGCCCGGGTAATTACAAAGCCCCTTAACGGAACCCATATGATGGGCTTCGGAGTGGAAGGTTTCTGAAGCTCCCCACCCCCCCCTCACCCCCCTAAACCCTAAACCCTAAACCAAAACCCTAAACCCTAAACCCTAAACCCTGTTAAATCTAAAGTGCTGCCCGAGACGCGTCTGACCTCTGCGATGCCTTCGTAGGAGCCTTGAATACATAGAACCCGTCTTTGACGATCGATTTGAAGCACCGTTTGTGTTGATACCTCCAGGTCTCTGAGACGCCGCCTAGCACGCCGAGATAAAGCATAGAGCATCTCCGCGTCCAGTGGAATCTCATCTTTATACCGCATGGCCTGGGAACAGCCTATGGCAGTTTCCGACTGCCAGAGCATCTTCCCACGCAAACCTTGCTCATTGCGCTTGATAAAATCTGCGGGCTGTCGAGATCCAGTCAACATGATTACGCAGCATCTGACAAGAATCATCCTCTGTAGGAAGTCTGTGTTACTTGGAGTACAGCAACTTGGATGCCTTTTGAATGCTTTACAACCACAAGTTCTCAGATGACAACTCGCCACGAAACGTTCGGAACACTTCTCCAGTTTTCCACCCTCTAAACCCTAAACCCTAAACCCCCATACACTGATGTTAACCTGGAAGACGGCCAATTCACCCCTTTTGTCTCGCCTTGCAGGGTCGGATCAAAACGCTGCCCTTCGGGATGTGGTTTCGAGTTCCCCTCATTTCGGGAACTCCCCAACCACAAAAACACAAGACGAGAGGAAGGCCCTAAACCATAAACCTTAAACCCTAAACCCTAAACCGTGGACACCGGACCCTCGGCCTCAAACCCTTGAAAACCGTAGAACAAATTGGCGCAACCGTCGACCCAGAAACCGCGCCAAAGTTCTGGTTTCCGCCAAAGCCCTGCGCAAGAAAAGCTCTGTAAGCCTGTTGGTAAGGGGAGCGGCACCAAATCCTGAAGCAAAATCAGAGTAACCCTAAACCTCGAAACTCCTAAACCCCTTAACCCTAAACCCCTAAACCCTTAAACCCCAACCTTGTACTTCGAGATCCTGAAATCAGAGTCCTGAAGGAGGGCTCCAGCGCTCTCGACTGTAGCAACTGTGTCACCCTCGTGAGTGAGGACGAGGTTCTCGCCTCCTGGGCGCTGGGAGTGCGGTTTAGAGTTTAGAGTCTAGGGTCTCGGGTTTAGGGTTTAGGGTCTAGGGTTTAGGGTTTAGGGTATCCCGCAGAAAGAACGAGATGCTGTGATGACACATTGCCATGCTGCACGATGAGCTATCTCAGATCTTTCTTTCTGAGGATGACTTGTGCACCTCAATTTGTCTTCCCATGAACTAACCCTAAGCCCTAAACCCTTTAGGATCCTCTAGGGGGATGGTTCGAGTGGGGAGGGACGAGGGATCCGTCGGGAACTTTCGGAAACGCTCGAAGGCTTTACAAGGGTAATGATGGTAATGTAGGGGCCTTTCTATATAAGTAGAACAGGGTTTTGGGGTATATTGTACTGTAACTATAATAATAATAATAAGGAAACTCTCCAAAACAATATCGGTACTTGTTAAGGACCTCGTATTAAATACTTCCTCCATGGAAACCCTTCTCCCCCAAGGCTTAAGATCCAGGATCCCTGTGAACCTGAAACAGAAACCTCCACTGGGTCCTTACACCCTGAATCCTTCAGGCCAGCTGCCCTTAGACCCACAACCCTACACTCGAAAACTCAAGCCGACCCTGAAGCCATCATATAACTACCGCAATAATCCCAAGCCCTATGCACCCGGAATCTAAGTCCCAAAGCCCTAAACCCTAAACCCGGAACCCTAAACCCTAAATCCCAAAGCCCTAACCCTAAACCCTAAATCCCAAAGTCCTAAACCCTGAATCCTAAACCCTAAATCCCACAGCCCTAAACCCCGAAACCAGTGCTTCCCGAAGCGCGAATCTTACGAAGACCGACCTCCAGCTCCACTTGCCAGCGGCCGGATTCCTCGCCAAGTGGGTTGCTTAGGAGGGTTTAGGGTTTAGGGGTTTAGGGTTTAGGGTTTCGGGTTTTTTGGTTTAGGGGTTTAGGGGTTTAGGGTTTATGGGGTTGGTTTAGGTTCTTCTTTAGGGTTTAGGGACAAGACTTATTGCTCAGTTCAGGGTTTGTGTGTGTGTGCGTGTGTGCGTACAGGGCATTGGGGGTGCAGTGATCCCTCTCAGAGCTGATGCGTTACGTTAAATCGGTCTATCTTTGTGCTTAAAAACCTGGGATGCAAAGACACTAAGGGTCCATGTGCCCGAATAGTATATACCTTGGCCTTAAAGTAGTCCCCATATAGGTACTTTGGGGCCAAAGTATATGCTATGTGGGTGTGCTGCCCAAGAGTCGAGACCCCCTGGAAAAGTTGGATAGAGAGTCTCAACAAGCCACAACTAGAGCCCACACCCTAAACCCTAAACCCTAAACCCTGAGTCCCAAAGCCCGAAGCCCTCTAAAGGCCGAGGCCGGGAATGGCGTCACAAGAGGAAGCATCAGCCCAGAAGCCCGAAACTGAACTCTTGTAAATAATATGTAGAAGCCTTAATAATTACCTATGTCATTTTGGGGGTTCCGTATTATAATGATAGTCTAGTGGGCCCCAAAACCCTATTCTATTTATTAAGGCCCCTATATTACCCTTGTAGGTTTTCGGGGTGCCGGGAATGGTGTCACAAGGGAAAATCCCTCAGGTACAACTGTTGATGATCTAAATCCTGCATTACCTTCAGGACCCTAAGCTATGGGAATTGTGGTATATTCCTTATTGCGGGTAATGCAGGGTAATATCTGAAAACCCTAAACTTTTCTGGGTTTAGGGTGTCCTAAATCCTGAACTTGACCAACCCTGCTCCTCATCGAAACTGACAAGCTTTCCGCGGAGTCCATTGAGGAGTTGCCTTTGCGCGTGGGTTATAAGGTTTGAATGTACATGGCTTCTGGCTAGTGTAGGGCTCAGGGTTTCGGGTAGAGGTAGGGTTTGAATACGAGATTGCAGGGCTTGGGGTCTGCATAGGTTTCTCCTTAACTAGAGTCTAATTGCGACGAGGGTGTAGGCTAGGTAGTCAGAGGAACATAATAAGCCGCGCCTGCTTATTCGGATCAATGCTATCTACTGTAGCGTAGTGCACGAAGACTAGAGTCAACAAACCCGCGAGACGTTGGGACATGCAGGGCTGCTGCGTCCCGCTGATCGTGGGGCGTTGGGTTCTGGTACAGGGCAAGTTGGTGACTTGCACGGGGCTTAGTGCTGGTCGTCTAGAGCTGGCCTCACAATCCTCGGACTCACCACCGCCAACCTAAACCCTAAAAACCTAAACTTGTCCCTTGCAGTTTCGCTGTGTAGTCTTGATGAGTTTGCTAAGACTACTGGCTAGGTGTGGATCTGGGGGCTGTGCCATGCGAGCATAATCTAGGGCCTAGGGGCCAAGACGAAGTATTGGTGGTCGATGTTCTATTCCTATTCAGCTACTAGAAAAGGATCGTAATACGAAGGATTCAGACCTCTACGTGAGCAGTTCTCTATATTCCGGTCCCGTTTTAGGTCCAGAAAATACTACGACATCCTTATACAAAGGACCTAGAAGGGACCCAAATTTAGAGAACTGCTCATGTCATAGTTGTGAGTCTGATCCCTGACTGCTCATCTGGACTAATGATCCTTTCCTTCTTGGTAGGGATTGGGGGTTTAGGGTTTAGGGCCTAAGGCTTATTGGGTTTATGGGATGTTGAAGTTGCCGCTGGTTCTGCTGCTGATAATGACGAATGATGAGAAGGAGGGTGATGAAGCTGCCGATGTCGACGAAACAAAAACAAACAAACAAACATGTGACAAGGTGCAACAAGTTGTTAACGCAAACGAAACTGAAAGCTATGACACTATTTGTGGAGCGCTGATGGTGGGGATGCCTTTGATGCTGCTGGTGATAGAAGTGGTATAATGACAACACAGCTGAAGCAGGCGACTGTTGCGATGATGGCTGGGGCTGCTGCTGGTGATGAGGTTGGATCTATCATTGCTTTATCATGCAGAAATTGGCTTTAACAAGTTGCGTTTCATGATGATTTCAGGTGACGGTAAGCTGACTCTTTTTCCTTCTCTTGTTCAGTAACTGGGCTAGGCTAGAAAAATTCAAACTTTATAAACCAAGCCAAATACATTGTGAGGCCAACAAATTTACAGTTCTCCCGCTGGCTATCTAAATTCTGAACATTGCGGTGTTTGCCACCCTCCTTCTAGGCCGGCTTTGGAAGCGTATTCTAATCCGTAGTGCCCCCCGCCCCCCACCCCTTTCGCCGTCTCGGCGAAGAACGCACGGCAAACACCATCGAGCCGGCCAGGCCCTGCGAATCCTTAACCCCTTCGGTAGTTCTCTAAATTAGGGTCCCTTTTCAGCCCCCCCAAATACTACGGCACCCTTGCAAAAAGCACCCTAAAAGGAACCCTAATTTAGAAAACTACCCCATTTGTCCCGAACATACCAAGTTGCAGCAACTAGAGGGGCCTCAACACTTAGACATCGGGCTTGGGGGGAGGGGGCATGCTAGCAACTACCTAAGGCATACAAGAAGCCTACAGCGGCAACTTCTTCAGGCTGCTAGGCTAGATGCAACACACGCTCGACTTCTGCAGGCGAGCATCCCCTCCTTCGACTGAAGGCTGTGCACCTGTCATGGCTGCCCCTTCAAGTAAGCTTCCTGTACAAGCGACTTACACTCCATGAACAACCACAGGACAATGGTCTTGACCACGAGATGTTGGGTGTACTTCACCAATCGCGTGTTGATGATACTTAAACGTTCATGGGGCTTAATAACTAGGCGAATAAATAAGGTAACTATACTTATAAAAAAAACTTATAACCCCATTTGAGGCACTTATAACTATACTTCTTAAGTCTCATGAACCTCTAAGTACAGTCTCAGAGTCTCAAGGCCCGACGCGAGACATCGACGCCTGTTTAAAACCCGAAGTGCACAGCCAGGGTTTGAGAGCTCTTCGAAAGGAACCCCAACATGCTGGGCAATCACTGTTCCTACTTAGGTAGTTCTCTAAATTAGGGTCCCCAATAGAGTACGGGACCCTTATAGAAAGGACCCTGAAAGGGCCCTCGTGTTGCATAGGGCATTGGGAGACCCAGATCCCTCAACCCTAAACCCTGCACCCGGAACCGTATACACCCTAAATCCCTTAACCCGGGCCTCTACGAGCCGTCCGTAAAGGCCGTCTCCACGTCGGGCAGTGCGCTTTCCTCACGAACACCAAACTCAAAGGCTGAAAGGGTCAAACTCCTTTTTTCTAAGATCCTCAGGACCCCCTCAAAACAAAAGTACCGTTCTTCCTATCTTCCTAGTTCTAGTCGGGGAACCTAAAAAGAACAAGGGCAAAAGGGTAGTAGTGGTGGAAGCTAGGCTTAGGGTTCCGGGTTTAGGGCTGCGACATTAGGGTTAAGGGTTTCGGGTTGAGGATTGCGACAGTATAGGGTTGAGAGTTTAGGCTTTAGGTTTTTACTGCCATCCCGAGGCCCATGGTGCCTTGTTCTTTGGTCTTTCGCACCTACATCCGAACAAGCAGCCAACGCTATTTAGCGCAGAGTCCTGCCTTCAGGAAGAAATATACGCTATTGAAATTTGACCGATATATGTCTCTGTGTGTGTACGTGCGCATGCGTGCGTGTGTGTGTCTGTGTAAACATGTGTATGTGTATATATATATATATACACACACACACCGATACCCATTTATCCGTCTATCTATCTATCTACCTATCTATCTATCCATCTAACTATGTTCAATCACCAGACCTGACTTGTGTGTCCTGCACACACATTGGATTTGCCAAACGTATTCTGAGCCGTAGCTACTGGAACGCACAAGCTGCGGCACAACACCGAATCATGAAGTTCCAACTTCAAAAGCTATGTGGGAAGATCCTTCAGCAACAGGTCGTAGTGCTGTCGTAACCAGAGAACAGAAAAGTATCAGCAGCAAACTTACACCACGAAACGCAAAAAACACTCTTGAAAGCACAGTTGCGGCTCTTCCGCAGGGACAAGTCGTCACGAAGAGCAGGACAAAATGCCCTGAGCGCCAGCTGTGTTTACACAATTTCCCCAGAGGAGCCGAAACTCACATGTCTAACTACTGCGAATTCAGCCCCTATACAGTTGTCAAGCATGTTTCGAAAGACCAGAACTCTAGAGGGCTTCCAGAAACCAATTCGTAGGGGCCTAAATAATTGCCTATATTGTATTGGGGGTTCCTTACTATGATTTTAGTATAATGAGCCCCAACACCCTATTCTAACTATTAAGGCCCCTATATTACAACCCAGCATTGGGCTGCCTTGGGGCTTTTTGCAGGCAAAACTTTGGGAGTGTAGGGTTTCGGGTGGTTTAGGGTTTAGGGTGTGGGGTGGTTTAAGGTTTAGGGTGGTTTAGGGTTTGGGGTGGTTTAGGGTTTAGGGTTTCGGGTGGTTTAGGGTTTGGGGTTCTCACATCAAGCTCAGGCGACACGGGCATCAAGAGAGGTCCGTTAACACAGGGCGTCACGAGAGACCCTGGAACCATCAATTGCACTGTGCTGCGCAGGGCAACAAGCATGAAAATACACAGACCCAGGCATCGAAGGACACAACGGTCAAGTAACGATGACCCCCAAAAGCCTCATGCTATTGCGTCGGTAACTGGAGGCGTGAGGAATAGCAGGCGTAGTAGAATCACTCATCAACTGTTAACCACATGTGCCAAGCCGTCTCTCGCCGGGCGGCGTCTCGGTCAAGCTAGCGAGGCTTGATATGGCCGCCACCTTGCTTGTCGCACTCGAACCAACAGGCCATATTAGACCTTCTCACCGTAAACTTCTGACCGCAGACACTAATAACAGCCTCCGTAAACCTAGACAGCGGTATCCTCCACACCCTGGCAGCATCCCTGGTGCCGAAGACCTGAGACTACCAAAGTTGACGAAACCCTAAGCCCTGAACCCTAAACCCTAAACCCCTGTGTCCCAGGAGAACCCTGGTGTCCCTGGAGAAAATACCGACTCGAAACTCCGAACTCTCGAAACCTTCTTCCGGTGAGCGCTGCACGCATAACATACTGAGACGGAAAGGTTTAGGGTTTAATAGGGTTTAGGGTTTAGGGTTTGAGGGTTAAGGGTTTGAGGGTTTGCAGGTTTAGGGTTTAGGTTCCTTTCGAAGGTCTTCATCTGTAGCAACAGTATCCAGGCTGATATGCACTAACCATAACTTCGTTGTCTAGGACTTAGCTTCTGCGCAGGCGATGATCTTAATGATACTGTCCTTAATACCTGTGACCATGGATAGACACCCCCAAGCCTGGTCATCAACAAGGCTACTGCCGTACACGGGATGCTCACTAAGTACACCGAACACCGTCATCCTCATCACGCCACTTCCGCATATGCATGCTGACAACCATGAACACCTGCGGCATCATGTATCGTCACTGTGGAGTTTCCCAAAATGACAATGAATTCCGCGAGCATGGAGAGGCTGTCACATGCGACTGTGGCCAAGCTTATGTGTCTAATTAGAACCACTAGTAAGATGATGATTCTAAGAAAAGGGAAGATTGCCCATCCGGGACTTTGGACGACGCCGATTGCTCAGAAACCTAGTATCAAACATTATCAAACTAACCTAGAAACCCTAGACACTCGGTATGCTAAGGGCACCCTACGTCAGGTCTATGGCTCCTACTTTGAAGAGTCGTCGAGTTCTTCCAAGACGGTCCAACCAAGTAAACCCTTTAAAGGGCATTATTGTTCGAAGGGGAGAGGTTCGTTCATTAAGGGTCTGCATTCCCCCCTCAACTCAGGAAGCTTCCCTAAAGCACAATAAGCGCCCATGTCATGTCATGTCATGTGGATTAAGCAGTGCTCCTAACATAGGGGCCTTAACAAGTAGAATAAGGTTTTGGGTCTCATTAAACTATAGTTATAATAAGGAACCCACCAAAATAGTATTGGTAATTGTTGAGGCCCCTACATTA